CTCCCTCACGTACACACAAGAGCTAGGAGAGGAAAGAGCTCCACTATCCCATAACCCCAGCTTCCATTAATCATTGGGGACTCTCCTTCTCCATCCCCTGCACACCCATATGTAGCACATCCATGGGCCTCCCCTGCACATCCATGGCAGCATAACACTTTAGGCAGTGAAGGCAACAGAAGGAAAGGCCAGTCCTATGCTCCTACCCCCAGCGGAGCCAATCATTACATATCAGAGTGCAGTGAAACCGTCCATAGGCTCCCTGAGGACATGTATAATACAGATAGCTCACTGAAGGGAGAAGGGGTGGAACACTTCCTCCTCCCACCAGTTATAGAGGTATATCTTCTTCCTCATCCTCATCCAGATCCGTGGAGTGCAGGCTCAGGTCCCTGAGGATGTCTGAAATGTTTTCAGTAGCAGGGCGAGTCATTTCCATGTCCTCCAACTCAGTATCAGTGCCACAAGGCAGCCCCTCCTCAGGGAAGGGCAAGGGCTGCATGGACAGGGAGCTGGGGGGCAAAGGGCTCTCCGCCCCTGAGTCCACTGCTCCTCTCATGGGTACTGTACAGCTGTTCTGCCGGCTCCACACCTGTGAGACCTGGTTGGCCTTCTCACTGCTGACTGAGGTCCGGCTGGTGTTACGGAAGCTAGCAAGCGGTGGACGGAGACGGACACCAGAGCGCGTGGAGCCCTCAATCGCTTTCTGGAGCTATTGGAGGGAGAAAAAGGGCCAGGGGGAGGACAGAATACACAAAGCACAACAGACGTTCAGCTATAGTAAAAAATAAAGGAATTTTACCCAGATAAGACTTTCTCTAGCCCTGTGACCTGGGAAGATCAGACTGCACACTGCTGTAGTGTTGTCTCACTCAACAGTATTTCACAAATTCCATGCCACCATGATCTATTCATTTCTGAAGGAACGGCTACTAAATGGATCTAATACAAGTCACTCAGGACAGAGCCTTCTTTTCATGGAAAGGGCCAGGTAAACATTAACATTCATGTAAATGAAATAAAGTCTTCATTTGCTAAGGCCCTGTCTGAAAGACTCCCTTTCCATCAGCATGATTATTCTACTTCCCTGGGGCAAAGAACTGATTTGGATTTCAAGACTGGAGTGTAAGGAAGCATAGTAACAGAAGACCAGAAACCTAGACCCCCTAAGCTGATTCCCAGTTATCTGTAAGATATTGTGATGAAACAAAAGTCTGAGGTAGAGCAGGAAGAGGTCGGAGTGTCTTCCTTGATTCAATAATGCAACTGTGTTTACCTCTTCTAATGCCAGCACTCCCTTTAACTTCCCCATACTGGTTACATAGGCATGGCTGAGGCTCAGCAAGGAGAACAAGGTGTGCGTCTGTGGGAGAAAGCACAAGAGAACATCTGTTCCAGAGACTGGAGTGTGACTTGGTGCTAGACTGTGGGCTAAGATCTACTCGGCTCATAAGCTAAAAGGGAAAATCTCAACTGCCCTCCCGCCCCACTGGCATGTAGCAACTCTTAGAGGTGTTTAGTGATACCTGGCAAATTCCCAAAGGTATCTATCATCCTTCACTTGGTACATACAGACATGACTACATATGCCTGGGCATCCAGGAACTAGTGCACCAAGTCCTAAGTAGTAACATAGCAGGCATGTCTACATGAGACACTAACTGCGCAGTAGCCTAATAATACTGTGCAGTAGCACATTGCAGCACAAACAATGCTAATGTGTAGTATTATTAAGCTACTGCACAGTACCATCACTAAAAAGGTGTTCACCAGCATTACTGCTCAGTGACTCCAGTTACTGCACATTAATCTAGTCCTTAATTTTACAAGTACAGGTAAATTTAATGTGCAGTAACCACTGCACATTAATAAATGTGTAGCTATGCCCACTGTATCTTACGAATTCATATATAAATACAAATAAGAGGTGTATGCACATCCTGTTATGCTCTGAAGCAGAGAGGATGAATACTAGCATTAATGCACTCGCATGAAGGTCCTGAGTTTCAGGCAAGTTTAGAAATCCCACTACTAGGGACAGATTTTTCTGCACAGCATATGAAATTCAGGATTAATTCATTACTGCTTTAAAAAATGGCTGAGGTGCAGCTCCTGCTGTCTACAGGGTTTAGGAGTAGGAGTCCTGTTGATAATATGTAAGGATCCAGATGCCTTAGAGGCTTGAAATGTGAAACTAATACTATAGCTGGTGGATCCTAGTATGGTCTATTGAAGGTCTTGTATCAAAACAGTTCACTGTAGCTTCTCATTTTCCAGGAGGCCAGAGCTAGATATTGGGGTTAGGGGAGCTCAATGAATTATTTATGGAGGGAAAAGAAAAAACAACAAGAGAAAAATACAACGAGAGGCAAAATGAGCCTACACAGAGAGGGAGGGAGTAAACAGAGAATGAGCCTTGGGGTGACCAAGAGTCTGCAAGAAAAGTGAGATGTAATAGTAAGTTCAGCACCCACCTTGTGCAGGGAAGTCCTCTCCACCAGTTGAAAGGGAGAGGGGTCTATGCGACAGCTGTCAAAGCACACTTCCTTGTTCAACTCCTCCTGCTCCCAAGCATCTATCTGACGCAGAAAAGAGGAGATCACACTTATAGTGTGCTTCTAGCTTTTATCCCCACCCAGGGTCATCCTCCTGCTACTGTTTCTTCAGCACCTCTGTCTATCTCCCTCAGTTAATCATTCCTCTCAGATTCCATGTTCCTCCACTGCCAGATGCGATGTCCCTTTGGGAAACTAGCAATGCGGCAGCAATAAAAAAGTGTTCCCAGTAGCAGTGAAAAAAGCATCTAGGCACCTCAGGACATCTTTAGTTCTGCTTAGAGGGGAAGAGATCTTCTAGATGCTCCAGAACAGAATTCCTTAGGTCCAAGAAAGAAGGTATCTGAATGACCTCTCCTTTTAGCTTATAAGCAGTTAAACTCTGTTCTGCTCATGGACAGGAGGAGGCATCCACTGCCCCCGCTTTCTCCACCTCCCTCCTACTTCCCCCCAGCCACACACACACTTTTCCTCAACCACACTTACTTCCTCTGGTTTCATTGTGTCTACAACTTCTACTGAGTCCTAAAAGAATAGAAAGTAAAGCCAAAGTCAGAGAAAGACCACAGAATACCACTAAGAAAATCCTAGATGAATTTTCACCCTGCTCCAAGAAGTACTTCTGCATTCTGGCAGCTCCTCTTCCTAATTTCTGGTCATCCTAATCCCACTCATGGTCCTCCTCTTCCTGCTCCCAGCAGTGCCACCTAGTGACTAATTTATCTGTAAGGCCAAAGATACCTCCTCCCCCTGCAAACCTTCCTTTAGTATCATTGGGCATTTATAGACGTGCTCTGGGAGGCGATGGGGGCCTCCGAGAGCCACACTAATTAAAGTGCCCGGAGCATCATGTGTATCGGTGTCCCCAGGCTGAAAAATGACAGTAGAGGTGCTTTAACTAAAGCTCATCAAACCAGCTTTAAAGTGCCCCTGCAGACATTTTTTAGCACAGAGATGCTGACACATATGACACTGGAGTCTGCTGGAACACAGTAATTACCACTTGAGTCTGCTCCAACGTGCTGTAATTACAGTGTGTTGAAGCAGCCTCCCTGCACATGTATAGGAGCCCATTCTTAGGGAGGGTGGAATATGCATACCGAGCTACTTCTGGCTGGCCTCCAGACTAGTCCTAGGTCCTAGTTCAAGTTTCTGATTAGTCTCCTAATGATTACTTTGGGACGAGACCGATAGATGGTGCTTCCTCTGACCCAAGAAAGCCATCAGGATTATCAGTATACAGATAACACCCCTTCCAGTTTGGTGGATTAATTGAAATATTTAAAAGGTATTTGTTTAGATATGATCCAGCACCAACATTTTCTAAAGTGCTCAAAAAATCAAAAACATGCATCTAAACTATCCAAAAATTAAACACAAGCAAAGAGTTTGATTACAAGGGGCCTTGGGTACAATCCACAGATCCAGTGAGGAATTATAACTAAATTGTTCATCTGAAGTCATAGCAGCTCAAGTTCAAGTCCCTGCTTTGCCTGATGCAGAGGTGACATGTGAAGCCCTCTCTTAATCCCTCTTCTTGAAGCTGCACCATGGGCGCATCTACATACCGCCCTATATCGCTGTAGTGACGTATTATGTCGCTATATGGTACACTACAGCAATATAGCAATCATATGAGTCTACACATGATCGGCAGCTACGGCAACGTAGCAGTGAAATCTAACCATGCACCAGTACAGGCAGTTACTGCGCCGTTCTTTAGTACCTTCAAAAGGAAGTACTAAAGCATGGCACCATAGCAATGTCACTGTATGGTGACATTTCAACGTGCCCCATTTGTCATAAAGTACTTCACTGAAGCAGTAACTAGAATACAGGTTCACCCCACTTCCACAGGAGTACCTTATCCACAAGACTACGCAGTCATTCTTTCTCTCTGGGCCTATAATTATTTCAGCAAATACAAAAGGAGCAGTTTCAGC